CCACGAGACGAATCAACGAATTCGTAAATTAGTCACCAACGACTTTCGTAGAGACAATTTTTTTACTTTTCCTCCTCTCTCTCTCTCTCTCTCGACTGAACTGAATGGAAAGCTCTGATTCTAATGGAGTTAATTCCGATAATAACGTCCGATCTCTAATACTTTTATGGATAATAACGAATCAAACTTTGTACTTTTCAATGCTTGTATCATTGAAATTGCTCCCTCTCTTTCAACGACGTAATATTAAGTGGAAATTTCAAAGATAATACGTCGGGGGTCGAAACATGTGTTGGCGAAAGGGTGAAACCGTTTCGTTGGTCGATGTAATACAACGGCGAATTGTCTTGAACCACGTTGAATGCGTTCGTTCCGGAGATGGGAACGGGGAATCAAAGGAAAGGAACAATGGGTAACCGGCGGTATTTCTGTCAAATACGTTGGACCTTGAAAAATCGTTGTGGCGGGGAAAAACGAGCCGGAGAATTATTACGAAATGTTTCATTGTTTCGCGATATATTGAATGCGACATCTTGGAAAATCGTTTCCTTTTTTTCCTCCCTAGACGAAACTAGGTCGAGGTCGAGGAACAATATCCAACCGACATATAGATAAATAAAAAAAGGAAATCGTGGTTGATCGTGGTGCATTGTTCCAAAGATAATCGAGGAATAACGAGCGTTCAAATTGATCGAACATCTGAGTTTCCTCTTACGAGAGGATTAGAGGAATGAATCAATCAATGAAAGGACGTCGTATAATAAATTTGCACGATACAATAAATATCGAGAAATACTTTTTTTGTTATCCAGCATTATCCACGCATTTATGTAGAAATTGGAAGCATTTGAATTTGTTGTTGCTCCTCTAAAATCACGTTATATTCGTTTTTTTTTTCAACGAACGAAGATCCATCCTTGATTTTCAATATTACGTATTTACGAATCGATGACAACAAAATATTCATTGCACACAAGGTGCATTTCTCTCCGTACTTTTTTCATCGAATCGTGACTAGACTCGATTAGCATTCGCGAATGAGCAACAGCCGAGTTCTCCTTTGAAAAGCAGGAAGCGGATTCGAGACGCCAATTCGAGGGCGTCTGGTGGCCGCCGACTAGCTGGCCACGATAACAAATTGATAACGATTGACAAATCGTCGGGGAGTGCATCTTTCAATTAAGTTCGGGCCGGATGGCGCGCGCAATTTCATTATCGTTTAAATTAGAGCGTATACAAAGGGGTATAAGTTACTTGCTTCGCTCGAGACTGATGCGTGTCTATTACCATCGTTTTATCGTCCCAATATATCCGACAATATCGAATTAACTCGAAAAATCACTCCAAGAGTTATTTTAATTGCAATGATCGCGTTCGTACGAAGGATGATTCCTTACCTGTTCGACATCTTTCTCGTGTATCTCGAATCCATCCTATCGTTCACGAGATTATAATATCGTAATTCACGTTTTTTGCATATCGGCTCGAGACATCGTATCCAACACGATTGATTATTTCATTTTCTGAAAATCTTGCAAAAGTTTGAAAAAGTTCTTTGAATTTTATCAATGATGACATCTCTCTCGTTTTAAGATCTGAGAAATGGAGATCGCGCTTAAGTTTCTTTCTCTCTCGAACTTTTTAATCGACCAGTTTTTGATTATCCATTAATTTTTCCAAAATCTCGTGAATTCTTTCTTACTGAAAATAAGTGTTTCGTGAAATTCTATTCTCACCGAATTTCGAAAAGCGAAATATTCAACGTTTCGTTCCGTTGTTAAAGTATCTCCAAGAATTGAAATTATCTTCCAAGAAGATATTTTCCCCCCAATTTTCAAGAAATCTTACGAACTAATCTTTCCAAGACTAGTTTCCTTTTTAACCACGCAACATAATCTGTCGATCTCGCGAGTTTTCTGCGAGTCACGGCATAAATTTCTTCTCTTATCGTCTTTCCCGGTCTTTCGAACAAGATGGAAAGGTTTCGATAACGAGGAGAACAATTTCGCGTTTTTCTTTCGATCGTTAGAACGAAGGTCGAGGAGGGAATGATTAAAAAAGAGAGAAAAGTCAAATTTTTTTCATTTCGAATTCAATCGAATTCCCGATGCGAAGAAACACATCGAAAGCTGAAGCAAGCGGACTCAAGTTACTCAAGTTACTTTCAATTATGCTTATCTGACCGACTTAATCCAAACTTTACACTGGGAAGGAAAGCAATTAGGTTAGATGGGCCGGTTTGATCGGCGGAAGTATTCCATTGCGTTGCGGCTATGACACAGAGTGCATGCTAGCATCGCTATGACGCGGAGAAACATTTTCTCTTAAATTCGCTATCGTCGGTCAATCGATCTTTATTCTCGATAGATTGCGAATTTTTATTGTAAAATGTGTATAAATCCTAAATTATATTCCTATATACCTTGCGTCGCAGGAATGGTGTAAAGTGACGAACCTTAAAGTGACTTATTTTTTTATACAAAATACGTGAAAACGTACTTTGTTTCATTAAATCCATTGAAAAGGCCTTTCGTTCGAAACCCAATCGTATGACCGATCCAAGAAAAGAAATAAGACTGATAAATATGTAAATTGTTTAATGTCTTAATTTAATTCTAAAACGCAAGAATATTCATCGTAAGAAATATCATTTTACACGTTATCGTAGTAAAGTAACGATTAAATTAATAACACGGATACAATTTATTGCAGATTAAGCAACGCGTCCCAGCCAGCCATGCTAGTTTCACCTAGTTTAGCGACCGTGATGATTCTCGACGACGATCACAGCGGCGTGTTCGGGTTCCCCGAAAGGGATATGGAGCTTGTGGAAAGCGTTGGCCAGTATCCTTTGCGAGTGATGAGATACAGCGGGGCAAGGGGACGCGTGGTCGTCCCTTATCGCACCATTGAGGGTACAGCTAAGCCTGGAAAGCAATACATGCATACCGAGAGTTCTCTCACCTTCGAGGACAATCAGACCGAGTAAGTGCAATTAATATAAGAATTTATTAAACTTTCCTCGAGTTATATGTATATATTTAATCTCTATTCGCAAGACGAAAATTTGTCAAAGCAGAGGAGATCAAAGTGAAACCCTTACGGTTTATATTTATAGATAATTAATGCATCACGCATCTGGCTCGAGGATAGAGAACGTGACTCGAAGTTTAGGGGATGAATTTCGAATTTCCCCCTTCGTGGACACGAGGGAGATTTATCGGCGACCTTAATTGGTTTCTCACGATAGCGGCGTAGCCCTCTAAAGAGCTTTGGATTAGGTAATTCGGGTAGGATAGGCCATTGCCAGTTATTAACCTGCGTTTTTACGATGGAATGGCATTCCATTTTTGGAACGATGAACGCGTAGAAAGATAGGGAAAAGATAGGGAAATTTATTCTTTTGGCCTTAATCGAATTTTCTACACTCTCGGTCGGAGGGGTGGCATTGTTCGATGTAACCATTTCATATTACGCGTTTCCAACTTAAAATTATTCCACGCTTATTCATCTTCGAGCGTCGCTTGTTATTTGTCCCGTATCTGAAACTCGGAAAATTTGTCACGACGTTTGAGCTTTCGTGTGGTGTTTCAAAACCGTGATGCTTCGGGATAAACGCGAATAAAAGTTGACGAGAACGTGGTAACGTCGAGCGTGCTGACTAAACTTGAAAGTTCAGTTTTGTAGAAACTTGTGGAAGAGTTATTAGAAGAACGAGCAGAGAACGGTTCGTGTATATTATACATGTATGCTTTCTTCCATCGCGTTACTTTTTTACGCATCGGTGAATTGAATACTCGTAAGAATAATCGAGGAAGGAAACAACGATTCAAAAGGATGATCGATAATCGTGCACGGAAGGCAACAATAAGCCTATAGAATCGAGTAACGCTCGAATATTATGCATCGAGTCGCGGATTAATGGAATTTAAAGCTGGTTGGCCGGCTCGATCGAATAAATTAAACCGAAGCTCGACGGGTTGAGGTATTTAAGCGCGGGGCGGCGATGTATAATATCAAGGAGCGGCTGTGTTTCGTTCGAATCGATTGTTATCGTATTCTGGTTCGACGATTATCAATCGTTCAACGAATAATTGGAGCGTGGAAGGGCGCTCGAAGGGCAACGAGGCCTCGTTATTGCATTTTAAAAAGGGCACCGATTCACCACACGCGAGCCTCGCATTCGAATAATTGTAAGGAAATTCCTGTGGGGAAATATATTGCGAATTATTCGATTTGTTTTTGTCGATTATAACTGCGGTGTTAACTGGAACGAATGAAAAATATCGAGGTACATCTTGGTCGTCGAGACATTTTCCTTAATCCTTTTGAAACAAATTTTTTTCTTTTTCTTTTTTTTTTTCTTATGCGATATCATAACAGCGATATCAAAAGAAAATGTAGGTTAAATCTGATTTTCAGAGTAGAATATGCGATCTCGTTTCTAATGAGATTCTACGTTCCAATAGCCTATTTCCAGTAATCCCCGAGAAAAATCCCCCCCCCCCAATTCTTGGAAAGTTTTTTCTAAATTCGCAAGAGCAGTTTGCAAAAACTTTCTAAATTTATTTCGAATGGAACAACTACAACTTTCGAGAATAACAGTTTCGAAAAGCTCGATTCGCAAAGTTCTCTTGCGGAAGGATTTTCGAGGGGAAGATATTTTACAAGCGAGTTCATTTCTTCGACTCAACGTCACTTTCGTCGATCAATTATCGATGAAATATTTTCTTGTAAGCATCGATCGATTCGAGCCTGACTTATGACGTCCCCATTCTACTTGTAATTCCGACTCTAAAAACGTTTCCCCCAAAACTTCCAATGCTTCCTAAATTTACTTCGACGATTCAGAATTACTCGCAGAAACAATAGATCGAGAAAAATGCTCAACTCTGGCGCGACAATTTTCTCGAGAAATTTCTGAATTCGACTTCGTTGTTTCGTCGATCGGCTTAACGAACGCTGCCCTTCGAGGAGGGAAAAATTAGAGAGGGAAAACACGAAGAAATTGAGGCCAGTAGGCAACGATAATAAGGGATCGGTTTTAGCTGAATCGTGGTCACGCGCGACCCCATCTCACTTTTTACGACCCCATTAATTCTCTTGCGAGCGTTCTTTCGATCGCTGCTCTCCTTTCCGCCACCTCTTTCCACGCGAAGATTCGAGAGTCACGATAGAGGCCGCCCACCAAGTGGCCGCCCCGTCTATGGGCGAATTACTTTTCAAGCCAACAACTACACCCGGCGTTACTTATCTTGCCGGAAGAAGGTGGCTTTTCTACTTCTCACAGAAACGAATCGTTTCCGGATTGTGTGACGTAGCGCGAAGTCACACGAATTGGCCTTTTAGCTTCGTAGAATTTTTCGTTAGATTTTTTTCATCGATTAAAAATTATCCATTGATGGATTTTTTTCAATCTAACCTTTGACTTAAAAAAGTTGGTGAATTTTTCGCAACTCGTTAGCCATACTGAACATTATTTAATTCGATAATGCTCGTAAAGGAGATTCCATCGATACATCTCGTTCAAACAAGATCGATTCGTTGAACATTCGAAGAGATTTAAATTTGATTTTAATTTTTGTCGAGCGAAATATTGGACTGTGTCCAAGAGGAGCTTCTTTCGATAGTAATGATGACTCTCGTATATCTGACAGTGAAAGGAAACTCGAATCTTTCGAGGATAATTCGAAACATCACAATCCTGTTTTCAACACCGAATTCAGGAACACGATGTAACAAGTGTAAACACTTAAATCTTTCGTTAAAAATTATTCGAGTTGTAATTCAAAATATCACAACTTTTTGAATATTGAACGTCGATAGGAATCTTCCCGCGTGTTCTTTAAAACAGAGATACAAGTTTTTCCTTTTAACAAGAGTTTGGGCCGATCCTCGACGATCGTGATCTCGATGCACAATACGAAGTCTGCATCGAAAGAACAGGAAGAACGAGGAAGCGGTATTTACAAAATATCCGGAGAGAATTTCCAGAATAAAAAGGGGAAGAGGAAGTGGAAGAGCCGCGAATGACTGCGAAGATTCGTTTTATTTTCGTGCGTTTTCTCGAGCTTTCGCTCGCAGTTTTTCGAGGGTGGCGCGATGAAACACGAAACTCGTCATCGCCCGTCGCCGCGAGATAAAATTTTCCGTTCGGGACAAATGACTTTCGTTTCTTCCTCGAAGACGCAGTGGAAAGTCTCACTGAAAGAAGCAGAACAGTGGAGGGTTTCTTATTCTCGATATCGTGTTTCCTTTTTTCCCTAACTTCTCGCTCTCTCGAGATTGGTTGTTTGGGTTTTGCGTTGATAGAAAAGTTTCTTCTTTGTGAGAAGTGGTAGAGTTACTCGGTTAGCGATTATATTCGTCTCGAAATAATAATTCACACGAAACATACTAACAGAGAAGGATTTATAACGAAAATTGGATCGTGAATTTCGGAAAAATTTTTGTAAGAATCTTTCGAGACGGGAGGAAAACGATCCTCGAACGAAGAATCGAATTTTTGCGAAAATTCTTTCAAATCGAATCGATTCTGATGGATCGAAAGGAAACACGACGATGATAATTATTCCATACGTCGACGTTTTTAGAGTATTTTACAGAGTGGTGGATAGACGACGATAATATTGATAATACAAGAAAGGAAGGGAACATGGAGAACCATTGAACAAATAAAAAAAAAAGCGCGAGCCTGTAAGCGGACTAATAGAGGGGCGGGAAGCCCGTAAAATGCGGCATGTTACACCCCTGCTCGCCCTTCGTTCCCCTGGCAAGCCTGTTAACTTCTCAAGTGCTAAACACCCTCGTATCTCGGCTGCTTCCAATCTTTTTCCACGTAAAAACATACTCCTTGTATCTGAAAAATCGAGTCGATTTTTTCCTCTAGACGGAGAGGAAGAAAATTTCTATATTTTTCTTTCCCTTTTCCTTTCTTCCTCCCCGAAGGAATTATCCTCGACTCGTACACAAACACAATACGTAATTTCTAGAAAATTAAAAAATGAAACGGTACGTTGTATCAAACGTGAACGCGTTTCATGGTCACGTACGCTCCCTCGAATCGAGTTTACGACCCCACCGATGTTATATTATCCCGATGAAAGCACGAGCCTTTAAAAGCACTATATCTATATCTTTCATTGGGGATCTGTCGATAAGTTTGCATCTTTCAAACTGATAGATCCAGTCGGTTCCTCGATAATAATACTCGAAGAATTCGAATCGACGTTAATTATAACTCTTTCTTCTTCGATACACATCGATATCCTCGAATATACCGGTTATATTTCCGCAAAATTTCAAACCGTCCACGAGAGACGATTTAGATCGATGAAAGCGAATCGAAAAAGAGGATGAATTTCTCTCGGTCTCTCCATCTCCATTTTTTCGCGCGATTTTTCGAACCGAGCTCTTGCTCGCTATCGCGTTACACGAGGCCATGCCTCGTAACTTTGATCCATTTAACGGCCATTCGATTTTTATCCGTCGAGGGCAGAAGGAGAATAGACGGGGGAAAAACGCAATTACTCGACCGTTCAAATATTTACCGAACGAAACCGGCGTTAAGGATTCCGCGTCAAATTGAACGTGCGGTCGATTTCGGCAAGGATTGGCTCCAGGTGCTACAGTTGGTGGTGGTTCGTGGAACAGCTTTGTTGTTCCAGATGCGATAAATCAACGTCTCAGGACCAATTCCAATTTTCCTCCACGCGACGTCCCCGATGGATTCGACGACTTTCTGGAATTTGCAATTATCCGGGAACGCGAGCGTGATATGAATTACCGTTGGATGAATAGGAATCGATGAAAGATCGCGTAAATTGTATGTACACATAAGCGGAGTAATTGTCTTTTTTTAATCGAATAGCTTCTCTTCCTCTTCTTCCATTGTAGTGTAATTACATAATATATAATTGAAGAATATAATTATTTTACAAACTTTGATAAGGATGAATGGATAAGATATTAGTGGAGATATACAA